ACTCAAGTGGGTACCATTCTGTCTGTCACTCTCCCAAATATAATCAACCAGGGTGACCAAGGCTGTTTCAATGCTATATTCAAATCTGAAGCCAAGCTGAAATGGGTGCAGATAATCTGCTATATCCAGGGATAGCAGCCACCACACAATCACCCTGCCCAGTAAGTGATTATTGCAACTGGGTGGTAGTTATCTAAAACCTCAGGTTCTGGGGAGACCATCTTCAGGAGGGGATGCACCACTGTGTCCTTTAATGCCGTGGGCATCTTCTCCTCCATAAGTGAGGCATTAAGTGCTCCCTATCCATCTCTGCTTAAACAGCAAAGAGAGAGTGCAATGGGCCTGATCCCTTCCAGGGTCCTGTCCCTCCTCAGGCAGCAACAACTGATCTCACAAACTTCAAGCAGACAGTGCTCTAAGCACCTTCACAGGACTTGCATTAACTGTGGAAGTAAGTGAAATGTGGATACGAGTAATTTTGCTGATTGCCGTCAAAGGCTGCTTTGCTATGGTTATCTGCTTTCTCTTCAGGGCTGGATTTCAACAGCCCATTCACCACTTGGAAAAGCAACATTGGGCAGTCCACTGAGAAGGCATACGGTGTACAAAGACAGCCCCATGGTTATCATGTCCTGAGGCAGAGCAGAAAATTGGCCCTGACACAGATCTTGGTCCATGTCACAAACAACCTAGAGAGAACCTCTGCTACTTCAGACACAGGGAGGCTGCGTCAAGAAATGGGGTGGGTGCTACATCACCAACACCCCAGGCTGCTCTGTAGCTCAGCCCCTCTGGTACAGATTCTCATATCCAGTTCCCAGACAGGCTTCCTGGTGAGAAATTAGTTTCCCATGCATACAGGTTTAGATCTGAGCTACCGATAACCTGTCATTTCAAGTTAGTTCGTCACTCGGGGTCAGAAATATGCATAAATATTGACCGTCAACCACCAAACTATCCTGTTTAGCCTGCTTCTCCGTTATGCCGAAATTCTTCCATTGCGTATAGGAGGGGCCAATGCAAGGTTTAAACTTAGAGAGACCTACAAAATTGTAGTGATGGGGCAGTAAAGAAGCAAACTTCCTCATACCGAGGTGCTGTGCATTATACGCTTGGCCAAATGCATTTGGATGCCCTGAAATGGGGGTCACAGTTCTGCACCTTTTCACACTGCCACCACGTACCCTTCTCTCTGTTGCCATAATTTACGAATGAACCCGTGTTCCTCCCAACTTCTTTCTCTTTCCTGATTCTTTTCCAGTTGGGCTTCACCCAGATAAGGGGACAGAGATAAGCACAGGCAGTTACTAAGATGTGTGTGATTTTCCTCCTTCAGCAGAATGGAGGGCAGTAATAGTTGAGGGACTGTCCTGAAACCACCTAGTCCAGGGTTTATCCCTAACTGATGCCATTCTGGCTGGGGCTGGTAGGAGTTGGATCCCAATAACATCTGGAAGGTCACAGATTCCCCCAAACCTGATGAACAGGGTAGGCTGCAAAGTGACAGAAGCAATAAAGCTCCAATGAACTTACGGTCTGTATCCTATTGGTTCACAGTTCTCACATGAATTTCTGATAAAGTATTTGGGGCAGTATACAACTACCACATCCTGTTGGTGCCTTATTTCCGCTTGCTCAACAGGACACCCCCCCCCCTACACACGTCCTGCATCCTCCCTCAAACACTGCGCATGCCAGTTATTTATTTCCCAGTTAATTTATTTCCCATGGGATTGGCAAATATTTAGAAATGAGACACCAAGAGGGAAATGCTCAGCATCTTGAAGATCAAAGTAGAATCTTTTGATCAGGAACAGGTTTCTCTTCTTTCTCTGTAACGATATGCTAACGGGGCTCAGCCATAAGGAAGTGATGTATTTCACACCAGCTCTTCTGATGGCTGAAGAGGCACTCTAGGACCTTGAGCTATCCCTGCCTCTCTCCTTTTTACCTGTTTTTGTGCTCATGTATATTCCATCTGGCACATGGCCCCTTAGAAAGAAACAGGAGACCAACTCCTGAAGGTGAGACCTAGCTGGAAGGGTTTGTTGCAGAATCCTAGGCCTCATTCTTTTGTAATTCATATATCTATACACACACAATATACCGTATATATATATATATATTAAAGCTTAATTTACCATTAACTCTGTCAGTAATGTGTTCATACATAAACAGCAAAAGGCAAGACATCCACCAGCGTAGTCCTGAGTGGGGAATCTGATGCCCTCCTAACATTGTTGTCCCAATACCCCTGACCATTCCAGTGACCCTGCTTTTGTATCTGTTTTGCCACATTGAGCCAACCAACGTGTTTTGGCTTTCCCTGTGTCTCACTTGCTACCCTTAAAAACCTTGGCTGCACTTCAAGGAATATCCAAGCCCAGCCCAGTTGACAGCTTGGAGGCCTTCAGTCCCTAGGAGCCTGCCTGGCCGCTGAGGCAGCATGTAATGAAATTACTGCAGTGAAAACTGATGGCTCCTTTCTAATTGTCCCATGCCTAGGAGGAGTTTGTACTCCATTTTTCTTTAATCAAAATCCCCTAACCTACTTATTTAATATTTAAACTACAGTGGGATCTCCAACAGTAACTTTCAATGTATCTTACTGCCTTTCCGTGGTGTAGGATTTTCCACAAATACAGTGGTACTCGGGTTAAGAACTTAATTTGTTCCAGAGGTCCATTCTTAACCTGAAACTGTTCTTAACCTGAGGTACCACTTTAGCTAATGGAGCCACCCCCTGCCGCACGATTTCTGTTCTCATCCTGAAGCAAAATTCTTAACCTGAGGTACTATTTCTGGGTTAGCGGAGTCTGTAACCTGAAGCGTCTGTAACCTGAGGTACCACAGTAATGCACTGTGACTGTGCTGTTTTGTTCTCTTGTCTCCATTTCAGTACGTTTCTGTTTTTCTGTAGTCCCAAAATGCTCCTTGATTCCGTAGTCCCAAAACACCTGTTTGTTTATCCTTTGATGCATTTGCAGATCTCTCCTCAAACTTGTGCTTCTGAGAATGGAGATCTCACATTTTCTAAGTGCTCCATGTGCAATATTTTGTAGCTGGAAAAATTAGTGGCCCCCCCCCCCTCCATTCATGGGAACGGCTATTGCAGAGGTAGCCAAAGTGTCAGTGGGGGTGGTGTCCTCTGTGTACAACCTCCCTCCCCCGCAACACATAAAGTTTATTTATTTTTTAAATTGGACATTTCACCACACTCCCTCTTTCCTGTGTGGAAGTGCACATCTCACCATGGGAAAAAAGGGGAAAAGAAAGGGCTGAACAAAGGCACCATCTAGTTACTCCATTGTCATTGAGATTTGAGGTGGGGAAGGAGCTGAGACACAGGCGAAATGTGATCAGGGCACCCTTTGCCCCACTGCACTGAAAGGCCCCAAGGAAGGGAGAGTTATTTTGCTCAGTAGATCAATGTAAATTCTGAAGCGGGTTGTTTGTGGTCACTTGCTAATGGCATAAAGCCTGAGAAAAGTTTGACCCTGTTTCTCTACAAAATAAAGAACCCATACACACCCCAGCTGAGGAAAGGACACAGTGGCAATATCACTAGTTGGTGCTAAGTATGGGCTATTGTTGCCTTTAGCACAGGATGTCTGCTTCTCTTGATGACACACTCCTGCTAATTATGCATTTTGTCTTGTTGTTTTTCTTTATTACCCTGTCTCTACATTCTCTGTAAGCTACCCCCAATATCTATTAATGTTCCAGAGCTCCTGTTGCTCACAGCTTCACTCTGTAACAGTTAGTTAAATGCAGCTCAAGGTAGCTGATAAGACTTTAACAAAAAACATTCCTCCATGGTATATTTCCCTTCATCAGTCATTTATTTGCATACTGTCACACACACTCTCTCTTACATGGTCTCATCTGTGGTGTTATTTGTCTCGTGAAGAGAAGATACAAAACTGTGGCATACTTCCAGTGGGGACTGGCTCCCATTGGGACTGGTAGGGTGGAAGGCAGAGAAGACAACGGTCCTGGAAGCATAAAATTGCAGAGTTGGAAGGGCTCCTGAGGGATCATCTAGTCCAACTCCCTGCAATGGAACCTGTACCAGGGTGGGCAGAGAGTTCTCCTTCACGGATAGTCTTCAAACAGAGGCTAGACCGAGATGCTCTCTAGCTCTGCATTTCTGCACTAACCAGAAAATTGGACAATATTATATACAAGGGCCCCTTCTGCATTATTCTGCAGTGTTTCCATTTGAAAATAGATGTGGGCGGTCCTGGCTATGGAGGGTGTATCTGCATCTGTGCAATGACGTAGTTATACCAAGATAACAATCACCACTTCCTCCTTTCTTTATCTGGGGCATGTGCAGGGAGGGAAAAGGCATGGATAATCAAATCAAGGGCAAGGTTTTCAAATGCACATCAAGTGACTACATCCACCCATCCTTGTGGATGATCTAGTATAAACCTAGGTTGAAAACATCATGTTGAGTTTGGACATGAATGATTCCAAACTGAGAAAACTTTGTGTTTGTGCTTCAAATGGGATAGTGTATATGCAGCCTAAGTCACTGGGATTTGTGCACTAGTGGAAGAAAACTGGCCTGCTGCAAAGGGATTGCACGAAACCTGCAAGGGAGAGGCCTTTGTATTGAAATCCAAACTTGCTAGGTTGGTTTGTTGTTTTTTAAAACCATACTGCAATTATGGAACAGTGTTGTTGCAAACATTGCACAAATAATTCACCGCCAGTACAGTTTCGCTGTTGACAATAAACTACGCTGACAATAAACTACGCTGGCTATTCATGGCTGGTTCCATCCCTTCATTAGTGTAACAGCAAAAGAAGGGAGTAGCTGGACATATGGAGGAACGCATGCTTTTCAAATGGCTGCTTTTTGACACTGTGCAGCTCCTCACATTCAAAGAGCTCCTAGGTATATAAACAGGGGATATGTTAGTAGATAGGTATGAAAAATTTCCAGCACTTACCCATTCCCAACCTTCTCTCTCTTTCTGTTTGCAGTGCAGGTCCTGGTAGATGGGGCACCACTTCGTATCCAGCTGTGGGACACTGCAGGACAGGTGAGACTCATAAATTAAAGGAGAATACAGGTTTGAGTTCTGATGGGGTGCCAAGAATGTCAGGAAGAAGGTGGTGAAAATCTGGGTCAAAGTGAAATTATGAGTGGCATTAATAATTGCTCTTGTACAGCACATTTCAAGTTCTAAAGATGTTTCAGATACATCACCCCTGTAATCCTTACTACAGACTTACTAGGCCAATCTTACCAAATTAAGAAAAAGCCCTGCTGGATCTGGCCAAAGATCCATTTAGTCCAGCATCCTGTTCTCACAGTGGCCAGAGGCCTGTCAGAAGCCTACAAGCAGGACCTAAACACAACCAAACTCTCCTTACTTGTGATTCGCCGGAACTGGTATTCAGAGACATACTGCCTCAGACAGTGAAACACAGCCTGTACCGCAGCTGAGGGTATGCAGTATTGTCACCTGATGAGTTTGTGTTTGAGGTAACATTAGAACTGAGGGCTCCAGGAATTGAAATCTACTTAAGCCTCCACAGCCAGGGTACTGAAAAATATGGGGCACCTCTGTATAGAAGTGCAGCCCTTGCTAGAGAAGCTTCCCAGGTGTTAATTGGAACAACTAGCTTTTTTTGCTTGGCCGAGATCCCTCTTTGTAGTGGACCTTAAAGTCTCTCTCTTTTACATGGGCCAAGCTGAGCTCCCTCTTGTTATGAGACTGGCTGAGCTACCAAGTTGTCTTTGTTTCCCTTTGGTTACACTTGGAAAGCTCAAACTGTATTGCTTTGAGAAGGTTTGCTGGGACAAAGGATGAAAACGTATGCTTTAGAGCAGGGGTCAGCAAGGTTTAGCTTGCCTGGGCTGGATCGGTCCCGCGGAGATCCCTCTGTGGGCTGGATTGCGTGCGCCCGCGATTGTTGACATCTGTGCGTGTGCAGATGTGATTTCTGGCACCACAGAAGCAAGTTCCTGTGCTGGTTTAGCACAGCGCGTGAGCAGGTAACTCAGTTCGGGGGCAGCTCGGGGGCCAGTCAAATGACCTCCGCAGGCCACTTCCGGCCCATGGGCCTTAGGTTGCTGACCCCTGCTTTAGAGCTTTGTGGAAAAGACAGCATTACTACATTTTATGAGAACCCTCTAGCTTATCAGCCACAGCTAGTTTCTGCCGGTGTGCATCGCAAACCAAATTCAACATCTCCTATTTTTCCTCTGCAGGAAGACTTTGATTGCCTCCGTTCACTCTGTTACGCTGACACAGATGTCTTCCTGGTCTGCTTCAGTGTTGTAAATCCCACATCCTTCCAGAACATTATGGAGAAATGGATCCCTGAAATACGGACACACAATCCCCAGACTCCCGTGGTGCTGGTGGGAACACAGTCAGATCTGCGGGACGACGTCAATGTGTTGATCAATCTGGACCACTATCATGCCGGGCCTGTGCCAAGAACTCAGGCTGAAGGCCTGGCTGAGAAAATCCGGGCTCAGACGTACATCGAGTGCTCTGCTCTGACTCAAAAGAACCTGAAGGAGGTTTTTGACACAGCCATCATCAGCGCAGTTGAGCACAAGGCCCAACAGGAAAAGAAAATGACAGCCAAGGGAATAAAAACTCTCTCCAAGTGCCGGTGGAAGAAGTTCTTCTGTTTTGTCTGAAGCTGGTTTGGGAATGAAGAGGCCTAGAAGTCGGGATTGGACTTTGCACTTTCTGCCACAGACGGCAAAGTGGCTAACTGAATGAAAAAGTGGCTCCAACAAGGAGCCAAGGGGACCTGGAGCCCCAGGATTTGCTGAGTTGGGATAGAACTTTCCTGGAAGACAGGAAGTGGACTTGTGTAGTAGTGCCAGGATACCAAATGGCTCATGCAATCTCAATAGAACCAGGGTGGTTTGAAGCTTCTTGTACTGAGTTCAGTATTAAAGAAGAGCCAAGCCTGTCATTTTAGATACCCAGACAGCATGAGCAGTTTCCAGAACCTCCTCACAGCATCTTATTTAAACCCAGGAGAAGCCGATGCAGTGGGGTGGTGCCAGGCCGCTGCTCCCCCCCCCAACAATGGCATTTCTGCTTATTGGGGCAAGGGCAGGGCTGCAGGGCCAGACTGACAGGAGCACCGAGTGCAGCCTTGTCCTTCCCACAGCCCTGCCCCATAATTTGAAGTGGTCCCTTTTTCAGCCAAGCAGCAGCCCTCCACCTCACGGGATTAAACCTGAGATATATTCTTGAGGCTGATATCTCCTTTTCAAGGCACAGGCAAGGATAGAGGGATTTCTCCTGGGAGACAACAATGTCAAATAACATGGCCTGCTCAAGGAAAAAGTATTTTTTATACTTTGCTTTCAGTCCTGCTTCAGGAAGCGGAATAAGTTATCCAGACAGCAGGGGGTTTGTATGAAGGAGTATCAGTTGTGTGGCACATCCTTAAAAGGACAAAGCATTTTTTGCGAAATGACACGGAATGATCCCTATGCTTCCACAAAGCTATTCCAATACAGTACATCATTTTGGACCTCATTGGACTTTTTTTTTATAAAAAAAAAGGTCCACCAAAAATGTATTTAAGGTTTTTGGTAGGGTAGGGAACCTTCCAGCATCTAAATGTGAATATTTCCCTCTTAAGAAGGACCGGGTGCATTTGAAAGAAAATTTCACTGTTGTGTGAAACAAATATTGTAAAAGTGAGAAGATAAAATAGGAGGGAAATGACAAGAAAGGAGAAGCATGTGACAAGAAGGGCAGAGAGGTGGTAGGGATGAAGGAGAAGAAGAGAGAGAGAGAGACAGAGGCAGACAGAGATACAGAGGGAGTTTAAGGAAGGTGAAAGGGAGGCGTAAAGGAGCATTTCCCAGTGTAGTGCCCTCCAGATGTTTGAACTTCCAGGTCCCATCAGCACAGCTGGCTGAGGCTGGTGGAAGTTGTACCAGGCTGGCATAGAGAAACCAAGAGACAGGAGAGTATGTCGCCATGGGATTTAGATAATGTTGGCAGAGGGTTGTGTTTTTTTGCACTAAGAAACCCTTCAGTGACCTCACCTCTTGATGGTTAGTCATACCTCAGATTCAAATGAAGGAAGATGCAATAGGGGAATTGTCATGGAAATAAGATCTTTGATGTGCTGTACTAAAGCAAGGAGAGAGACTGCCGTTCTTCCTGTATCAGGAAAAAACTGGCTTTGCGACCTATGGGTGGAGCGTGAGAGCCAGAAATTCTGGCAGCCCTGGAGTAGGAGAGATCCCACCTCTGGATAAGGATCCAAATGCAAGCCTGGACCTTTGTATAAGAGGTGAGAGTGCCTGCAAATTGTTCAGCACAGAAAAAGAAGTGGCACTGTGTCACTAAATACACAAGTGTTTTGGAATTCACCAGTTTCTTAAATGCCAGGCTTCGGAAAATGTGAATGAGAAGCAGGAACCTGAGTGGCTTTGCTTATTCAATTGATGTCTCCACAGGCAGAAAACAGCGTCCAGATCAGGGATTGATCATCACATGCGGTAATCATGCGCATTTCCTTTTTGCTACGTGTGGATACACTGGGAAGCTCAGCCATGACTTTCCAGCATTTGTACGCCTTGTGTGATGATCAGCGCACAGTTTGCATGTTGGAAATGTGCTGTGTTTGAAGCAGGTCTTGATCATCGCTATTCTCGAGTTGCACGGCACACTTTTGCTGCACAAGTGGAAAACGTTGCATGTTGGGTCTTTATGCATTTCCATTGTACACGGGGGAGGTCCTGGAATGAGGTTGGACATCATGGCAGCCCTGTGTTGAGGACTGAATCTTAAAGGCAGTGCCAACACCAGGAGTTCAAAGGAAATAGGCATGCTTCCCTTTTCCTGCAGTACTAGGGAAGGATGCATGGGTGTTGTCAGTTCATGTTTGTAGCATTGGAGGGATTCCAAGGAGTTCTTCCTGGGAAAGAAAGGATCCTCAATCCTGTTCCCATTGCCCTAGGGACTGTGTATCATACACCTTTTGTTTTGTTTCCAAATAAAGATGTTTTGTTTAAGTATGAATGCGGTTCTGTGAATTATTTGCATTGGTGGGAAATACCTTCACAGATTAAATGGAAACGAATTCAAGGTAGCGAAAGCCTGGTACGATGAATAAGAGTCACAGAACATTTTCTTCCCACAGAAGTAGCAAGACACAAGTTGCAAAATGTCAGGTGAATTTTGGCAATCCAAATTAAACTGGGCAAATCGGACTCCTCAGCCTTAATCACATGTGTGTGGTTGAATTACTGAAGACCTCATTCTATATAGGTTGCTAAATAAATAAGCCACAAAATATCCCTCAAAAGGAACATAAACTGTTGGGAGCAGTACAGACACAATTAATAAATACAGATAATACAGGTGCCATCATACACAAAGTAGGCCATTGGGTGGAATTCAGTGTCGTGTTATTATAATAGTTCCATTTGTGCAACCAGTTCGGTTTTCTGCATTATTTCTTTTGGCAATAGGAAAGAGTATCTGTGCTGTAAGGCCATTGCTTTGATAAAATCATTATTTCACAGCAAGCTACTTGGACGCCAGCAAAATAGACATAGACTAAGCACTTTGATCCTGCTGTAACCAACCGTCACTTGACCTGGCCAAGTTGCAGCATGCCTTGCTGCTTGGGCGGCAGCCAGGGGGGAGAGTTTCTGTTTTTGGTGTATTTAATTCTAAAGGAAATCCACAGTGACACAGATTTTAGAGTTGCTGTGTCAGCTGCTACTGCTGCTTTCCAGACTAGCTGATGAGAAGCAATTTGATGGAAACCTATCTGACTGGGAGTGATAGCAAACTGTCAAAGAACCTTTAGAGTAATTCACTGCAAAAAAACCCAGACATCTTTTGGGAGTACAGCAAGCCTAAGAAAACACTTGAGGTAGGGGATCTAGTTGGTAAGAAGCATTTTTATGCTGTTCCATATAAGAGTAAACTGATACCTTCCTCAGTTCCCCTGTGCTGAACCAAACTTGCTGGTAGACCCAATTATAAAAGCCTTTAGGCCACAGAAAGGTTCTATATTTTTAACAATGGTAATTCATATGGCATTCTTATGTACAAAATCTCTTAAATCTTTATTGCATTCATCTCGCAGAGTTAATATTACTAATTCAAAAAACTCTCTTAAAGTGCCAAATCTCTTACTATCTTTATTACAGACATAAAAGCTGAGAGTTTGTAATAACACAGTGCATTTACAAAGCACACTTCAAAGCGTTTCACATTTGTTTATCTCTATAATCCTTAACAAACTAGGTCAGAATAATTAATTGTCTCCATATTGCAGATGGGAGTGTGGAAACTGAGCAAATAATAATGGCTTGTTAAAAAGGACTTGAATCTATAGATTTCTCAGGTTCATCCCTGTCATGGCAGCCACTCGTCAGCAATACCTCCAGAGAGATCCAGTTTCATGTGTGCGTTTTAAGCTGATTTTCTGCCTGCAGCATAAAGCCACCCACCCATTGACTCTTCTTCAAATCATGCTAAGCCATGCGATGCAGCTGAATCATGGTGCAGAAGGCACAGAGTGAGGGCTACCTAAGGGCCAGTTTCAGTCTGGGCACACTCTTTCCAGATTATACCCGATACTGGCTGCATTCTTTCCACAGCTTTATAGTTAGCAGACCACAGCAGAAACTATGCACCTTAGCTCACTTGAAACCCCTTCTCTTGGCTCCATAAAAAGAGCGGTCTTTATCTATGCTATGAATTTTTTGCTGAAAAATCTCCCACAAGTGTGAGACTCATGGCTGCTAAGTAATATTCCTCATAAATCCCAGCTAATTTATTCAGGAATGGCAATCTGCAGGGCTATTCACAGGAGGGTATGGGTTTTACCAACTCCAGCATTTGCAGTGTGGGAAAAACACAGCAAATGCCTTGCTTACCTTAGGCAGTCGCCCATTTGTTTCACTACAAAAGAATGCATCCCTTAAAAGGCTTGGCTTCACCTCATCAGCTTCCTGCTGGGACAGCTACCCTATTCCCCCTCCTGATCCCAGGCTGCAAATTAAGCCCTGGGACACCAAGTATTGTTCAGTTCAGTGGGGTTCCTCTTCCTAAAGTGGGGTGTGGCCAGGCTTTGAGAACTTCCAAAAGATTCACCCTTCCTGCTGTTTTTCTTCCAAGCCTTATTTACAATGCATGGCGAAATGCAGACGTTGGTTGGTGGTGATGAAGTGAGTCCTTTAGCCAGCCTCTGTCAGTTAAAAATGCTGATGAGACCACAGGCAACTTAACTTAACCGTGCTAATTATGGGGGCCTTTTAAGATAACATGCAACTGGGATGGTCCTTCACTTCTCCCAGAAGCCTGGGGGCATTCCCCCCTTATAAACAAAATTCAAGAACAGGTAATTATACTATGATGCATTCAAATAATAAAAGATTAGTCTGCTCGTTATCTTACCATTTTTATTTCATGTACCTACACAAAACACTAAGGAACTAACTTGGTGTTTTCATTTCACCCCAACATCCTCTAATCCCTGGCTCTTTCTTCATTGTTCAATTTGCTTGCTTAACTTCCCGCCTGATGAAAAGTTTTGATGGATTCGGAAGCTTCTTGCTGCTTTGTGATTTTTTAGTGGATTGTGCTTTTGTTACTGTCCATAAGTAACGGCATTACCTGTCTTGTGCTTTTATCTGTGCTTTGTGGCTGGTGTGTGTGTGTGTGTGTGTGTGGTGTGTGTGTGTGCGCGCGCACGCGCTTTCATAAGCCACCCTGGTAAGATATAAACTATAGAAGCAAGCAAGCCAACAAACTCTTTATTTTTCATAGGTATATGACATGTCATCTATGGGGAAACAGAATGAAGATGATTTCTGGATCTCATTTTTCTTTATTTGTTCATTCAGTTTGCAAGCACATGTACATTCACATTCCCTTTCCACTCAGTCACAAAGTTGCACCTTAAGATTTTCACTAAAGGTGAGTGCCTTGAGTCTCACTTCACACACAACAGCAGAAAAGAAGGGAATTACACAGAGTGAGTCAAGGAACACACGAACCAACTCTTAAGTTAGGCACAGTGACTTGCTTGAGGGAGGGCAGCCACCAAGTCTACCCATTTCACAGGTGGGGACACCTGGGACCTGGTGTTTCAGTACCCCCTCCCTATCAGCTTCATCTGCTTCTTAATTGTCAACGAATATGGCACATTTCAAGTGGTGTGGTGGATCAAGGAGACAGTAGAATCAGGTCTGGGGCAGAATTGATAGCATTTTTAAGATCAGGTGACTGGGCCAGAGGTGGTAACACTGTGATCAGAAGGGGAATGGAGGCAGCCAGTCAGTGTGACTCAGCTTGGTTTAAGACAGGTATCGAAAGCCTGTATGTGGTGTGGGGATGGATGTGGCTCAAATAGGAGGAGGAGGAGGAGTCCAAAGTTCAGTTTATAGCAGGAGAAGGAAGGTGGGTGTTGGTGAAAATCTTTGGCTGAATTGGACTTGAGCTCAGCATTCAATAATCACCCCAGTGGACAGCACTGATTCAGGCCACGGAGTACAGACCGCCTCCTCAAA